AAAAAAACATACACAAACAAATCCAAATCAAACCCTTCGGCTCGTGACGACACATTGATGTCCTAAGACACGAAACAATCGGTTTGTGCCAGAAACCGAACAGTATTTATATCATTTTTTACCTCTAATACATCACTATGTCCAACTGTTTTTCTGCGCAGGCATCCGGTGCGTGAGGTGTGTACGCACTCTGTCGTGGTTTACGCAACCGCCGGAAGTGATCTCTCGCACGTATACGTCACTCATTGTTTACACAGTGCACAGTCATTGTAGGTACGACGGCTAATCAAAATGGTACTTGCGCTAATCCGGATTGTTCAAACCGACTTAAAACTAAAAGATTACGTTCTCTCGCGCGAACTCATTCGGGAGTGGTGACTTTCCACGTATTCCCAACTTCTGAGCCTGCTCGCCTGAAGTTATAGTTGATTGCTCTTCGGCTGGATATCAACACACCCATTAAAGTAAACTACGCCAGAGCGCGTACACACCTCACGCACCGGATGCCGTGCGCGCGCCCAAAGACAGTTCGACACAGTGGTGTATTAGAGGTAAAATATGATATAAATACTGTTCGGTTTCTCGCACAAACCGATCGTTTCGTGTCTTAGGACATCAATGTGTCGTCACGAGCCGCAGGGTTTAATTTGGATTTGTCTGTGCATGTTTTTTTTACTCTCATAGATTTTGTTACCATTGCCATGCATTATACGACTGATAGACTGCAACGGTTAAAGTTAAAAATCATCATGCGTGTTCTACTGAAGAAACAAAGTCACCTACATCTTGCCCTGGGGGTAAGCAGATAAACATCAAATTTTCATTTTTGGATGAACTATCCCTTTAAGTTATCAAATTTTTCTTCAAGACTGGTCATAACATTTTAAATTCTGTTACAAAAAGGTAGATTGGTCCAATATAAATTTGAAAGAAAAAAAAAAAAAAAAAAAAAAAAAAAAGGATTATCCTTGGTCTACTACTAGTTTGTGAAACTAATTCTTAAGTCTTAACATAGTGGCTGTGTTTATGCAACTAGCCTGTTTATAAAATGCCACAGGACTGTTTGAATCAGCCAAGAGTGCTGCTGCCATCTACAGGAGTGTTAATAACTCCCATGGATAGAACAGCAGACTTGTTTAAAATCTCAAACCTCTGGTTAAATTAAGAGTGTTAAAGTACTTACAGAGTTTCCATGGAAGAGTCCGTGGTGCCCGAAGTCCATCGGATAAACTGATGGTGGTAGATGGCTCTGGCCTAACAAAAACATGAGTGCAAGTGTATGTAAAGCAAAACAAACAAATAAATAACTTGAGTGGAGTCACTTTAGCCCTATTTTGTCAGAAAACATCAAGCAAGGGTCATGTTTTTTTTTCATGCAGGTATGAGTAAAAAGAGTATGTTTATATTAGTGCCCCTAGTGGTTAAACTTGATTACTTGCAATCAAACCATTACAAGGGTAATTTACCCAAAAATGTAATGCTCAGAAACATTGCTTGTTTGCCTTACTGGGTCAGAGGATTTAAGGTCAAGGGAAAAAGAACATGAGGACTCACTTGTTTTGGGCAAGCTGATTGTTGGATGCACCCCAGACAAACATAGCAGCATTATCATCAGCCTCTGCAATCATAGGGCCAAACAGAGGGAATCATCCAGAAAGGAGGGATTTATTCATTTAAACCAAAATACAGAACCCAGAAACTATACATATTAAATAAGGCAAACTGGCAGTGCCACAGTAGATATACAGCAGAAGCCTAGTATACGAAAACTACACTCAAAATGGCACCCCATACACTCAACCGATCACAGACCTGTTTCCCAGTCCTCATAGGGTGAAGGGTTTGTGCAGGTGTTAACAGGCACCTGAAACTTCTCCAGCAACTCTACATTTCCTAAAAAATAAAAAATAAATCCTGATTGACAAATGAATGCATCTTTAATGTCAAGATTTTGGAAAAGTACAGTAGTTTTAAAATCAACATTTTGATTTCACTAGTTCAACTAATTTTCATCCAAACGCCACAACAAAAGGATTTTTTGTCCCATGGAAGAACACAAATATCACAGTAACAGCCCACGCTCAAACATGCAACACTAACCATCTTCAGCGTTCAGTGACCTCTTGTCTTCACAGTTTGCTATGTGATGAGACAACTCATGCTTGGGGATCAAGTGTCTGGCGTTGAAGGGGCAAGTCTTCAGTTCACTAGCCAGTTTGGGGTGGTTCTGAAACAGATGGGGGTGGACAGATAAAGTCCTCACAACACCAATGCCAAGAAGACAACACCCTCACAATTTCAATAAATATGATATGAAAAACAAACACATGGAGAAGATCCCCCTGCCATAACCCACCTTCCTGCACTTCAGAACATGAAAAGGGAAGCGAGAGGCTCTGATCTGGTGGTTTTTGTCATATGGGCACTGCACAAGCCTGTTGGGGTCACTGGCGTCATCAGTGTCTTCACCATAAGCTGTGAAAATAAGCACCACCATCATAAAACTTGGTTGCTCTTGTGGCTGGTTCACACAGAACGCCTTTTTCCGTTCCACTGCGCTACTTGTCCATTGTTTTTCTATGTGAACGCGCTAGATGGACGTGTTTGACTGTAATATTGTGACTTCAGAAGTGGCAGGCCTATAATAAATCCAACTGCTAAATTACCGTTCTCTTCATTCCAGCCATGCTGTTGATTTTCAGAGTTGACTCCAGACGGACCAACGCTACTCCCGAATCTAATAGTGGCCATGCTCGCTTCCTTCTGGGGATTTGGGTAGTTTGCTTGACCTTGCGTTTTCCGTTGGCTTCGATAAAATGTCACCCTAAATAAGACACGCCCAATTTAAAAACAAGCCAAGTTTTTAAAAAACACAATGATTAGCAGAAAAGCGGCTCGTGCTTAACAAGACCGTTGAAAGAAGGGACGTCGAACGCCAGAAGTTAAAGTAGCCTAGTTCGATCTAGAACATTTACAATTTTTCTTTAAAAAAAAAAATCACAACTTGCAATACTTTCTAATTTCTTTACATAGCATTATCTTGTCAGAACACTTACAACTTGGCTTTTGTAGTCTTGAGGTATGGCGCGCGCTCCCCTCCCCTTGATTGAGATGGACTGTGAATGTCACGTGACCCACTACTTAAAAACCTTAATTTGCTTCGTCATTTCAATATTATCATAATTATGTACTATGGTCAACACTTTTCCAAATACAGACAGAAAACAAAAAGCTTGCAAAACGGCTTTATATAAAATAAAGTTAAATAAAACAATTCAGTTCAATTCAGTTAGATTCATTAGATTAGAAACAGCTGTGCTGGTAATATTTTTGGAACCTGTGATACTTTTTTTAGGATTCTTTGATGGATAAAAAGTAAAAAAAAAAACAGCATTTATTCAAAATATAAATATTGTGTAACAATATACACTACCTTCAAAAGTTTGGGGTCAGCCATTTTTTCTTTTCTTTTCTTTTCTTTTCATATTTTTTTGTTGAAAGAAATGAATGCTTTTATTCAGCAAGGATGTGTTAAATTGACAAAAAGTAATAATAAAGATTTATATTGTTAGAAAAGATTTATATTTTAAATAAATGCTGTTCTTTTTAACTTTATTCATAAAATAATCCTGAAAAAAAGTATCATAGGTTTCCAACATATTAGAATGGTTTCTGAAGGATCATGAGACACTGAAGACTGGAGTAATTATGATGAAAAATCAGCCTTTGCATCACAGAAATAAATTATATTTTAAAGTATATTAAAATAGAAAACCATTATTTTGAATGGTAATAATATTTTACAATATTGCGTTTTTTTCTGTATTTTTGGTCAAATAAATGCAGCCTTGATGAGCAGAAGAGACTTCTGTAAAACACTTAAAAATGTTTAAATTCTTTAAAATCTTTAAAGTTAGTTCAAATCTTACTGATCCCAAACTTTTGAACAGCAGTGTACATATATATACATTTTTTATTTGCTTGAGCCAAGGAGACTAATAGGGTTTTGAAATGAAGACTCCAATCACACAAATACTACGGTATCTATCGACAAAAAAAAAAAAGGAAAAAAAGGCGTGCGCTTTGAGTACTATATATGCGGTTATTGAAGCAGCCAATCACAGCGCCGCGCCCGCATTCCATTCTCTGAAGACACGCCCACGTAGAACTGTCAGCTGCTCAGTCAAAGATGGCGCTGTTCTGTAGAGGGTTGTGCCGCGGAACTTCATTGATCTTACTGTACGGAAAATCTCATCCTGACGGCACCCATTCACTGCAGAGGATCCATCAGTGAGCAAGTGATGAAATGCTGTTCTAATGAAGAAACAAATTCATCTACATCTTGAAAGGCTTGAGTGTGAGTAAGTTTTCAGCAAATTTTCATTTTTGAGAAAACTATTCAGCGACAGCATAGCGTTCCTTACAACTACGGTATCTAACAAAAAAAAAAAAAAAAAGGAAAAAAAGGCGTGCGCTTTGAGTACTATATATGCGGTTATTGAAGCAGCCAATCACAGCGCCGCGCCCGCATTCCATTCTCTGAAGACACGCCCACGTAGAACTGTCAGCTGCTCAGTCAAAGATGGCGCTGTTCTGTAGAGGGTTGTGCCGCGGAACTTCATTGATCTTACTGTACGGAAAACGACCTGTCGGGGTCAAAGCAAGTCTCTGCACACCTAGACTGGCTTCCACAAAATCCAGGTACTATTCATAAGTTCAGGATGATCGATCATATGTAGGCGGTGGTGTGCATACCACCATACAGCTAGGTGTTTTTGCATATAGACTCGTTATAAAATGATACTGAAGATAATGTTTCATCATGAATTATACAAGTGGGGCCACTGGAAATATTTCTCATTGTCTGTCCTCCTTTTAGTTGTTGTCCAGAGAAAAAAATGTCACTGGGTTCATCAGGAAATACAGTACATGCCCTGCCGTGTTATGACATCTCACACATTTATGTATGTATGTATATGTAGTAGTTTGTGGTTTGTTAGACACTACTCACCTTCACAAGCAAGACATGGAATTAGTCGAAGCGTTGTGTCCGGTCTGAAATGGGCCAATGAGAAATATGAGAGATTCCTGCAACGTCGCTTTCCACGATTTTACGTTATCTATCACACTTTTATGAGAGGTCAGAGTGAATAATATATATTTAAAATCATTACTGAATTTTTATCCTCAAACCATCTCGGGCAAATATGTTATAATATATGTTTTATGATTTTCTATAAAGGTTTCCGGCTCCTGTTTCAAGATGGTACAGACGTGAGAAGAATCGTAGCCTGCATGCTCAGTGAAAAAACAGAGTACCAGAATTTGCCTTACCGTGATATGGAGAAAATCAGGCAGGTGGGTCAAAGAACTGAAGCAGACATTTATGGGATATATTGCTGTTATAAGTTTAAGAAGTATTAAATTGTTATCATTTTTGTGTGTTGCTTTCAGGTCCGCAGGGACTTAATCAAAGCCATTCCATTGGTCATCTTATCAGTACCTCCTTTTGCCAACTATGTGGTCTTCATCCTTATGTGAGTATTTAGCATCTTACTACGCTGATTATTTAGTGTTTTGCCTTTTAAGCAATTATGGAGTATTTTTTGAATCTTTGAAACTGATTGAATATTGCATGTTTCCATTATTATCTGTCACTCTTCCATTCATTTATCCGATGATACTTCCATCCTCAGGAATGTGATTTTTCCGTATTTATTCATATTTCAGTATTTTCTGACCTGGGATGTATGACCCACATGATTTTAGTTTAGTTTAACTTTAACTTTATTGTCCATTCTGTTTGTCAGAGCAGAAATTCGTCTTTGACTGGTGACATGAATACATCCACATTAATGCTTAAAAAAACACATCACACATTAACGACACAAACATAGAATTGAACAAATGTAAACAATTGACAGTACCCCCATCATTTCTTACACATTTCAAATCATCCACAGTAATATATAATTTTTTTTTAATGCCAACCATTCTCTTGCATTTACTTCAAACAATAATCCGATTTAAAATTATAACTGCCATTGGGACAAATTATACGTATTTCTTCTGGCCAGAGGAATTTTGAGTATATGCCCTGATGGAAGCATTTCAAAAGTAGAGTGGAGGGGATGCGTATGATCTTTTAAGTTTAGTCAAGTTATACTTAATTGTCCTTTACAGGAAATTTGTCTTGGACTCTAAAGCTGCGGTAGTACACAACAACCACACACAATAACAACAACAACATTATTAAGAGAGAAGAAAAACAAATTGCAGTTTTTCCATAAAATAATCAAATAAGACCTGAAGTGAATGTTGTTTATGGCCAGTGATCTTATTTGCCTGATTATATATTTGTGAAAGTTTGTTCTTCTGTTTAACTGTTATATTACCGTACCATTAAACAATATTATATGTAAGAATGCTCTCAGTCATTGACCTGTATACCATAGTTAGATTATGTGTGGACTCTACATTATTTTCAAAGTTAAGTTTATCGTCAATGATTGTTCCTAAATATTTCAAATTCGAGACCTGCTCTACAGTTTTTCAGTAGCAGTAACTAAATCAGCATACTATCATCTCAAAAACATTGCAAGAATTAGATGTTTTGTTTCCAGGCCTTTTATAATGACTGGTTTGTATACAGGGCTTGTATCATAGCTCTCAAACCAACTGATAATACTGTCAATATACTCAAAATATGAGGAGCAATTCATTTCATTCTGACAGGAGACCAATGCCATATCATCAGCATACTTTATGAGGGAGAGGTTATCATCATCACATTGCAGTTCATTGCTGTATACAGAGAACAATATTGGAGACAGTACAGATCCCTGTGGTACCCCAGTATTTAAAACCAAGCAGTCAGACAAGACATTATTAATACAAACACGCTGAGGTCGATCTATAAAAAATTCCTTAATCCATAAAATCATCCAACTAATGACACCTAAATTGTGAAGGCACTTTAAAAGAAGGTTTGGTTGGCCGTTATCAAAAGCAGACGAGAAATCCATGAAGAGTATTCTAACTTACATATTTGACTTATCTAAATGATGTTGAACTTTATTCAAAATAGTGAGAGAGGCATTGGCCCGGTAAGCAAATTGCAGGGGGTCGATAGACCTCTCAATTTGAGATGACAATTCCTTACTATGCGTTTCATACATTTGCAAAGAACTGATGTGAGCGCAATTGGACAAAAGTCATTTACCAATTTTGCATGAGGTATTTTGGGTACTGGGATGATGCATCTCTTGCATTTCCTCTTTTGAATTTCTTCTCAACATTCTCTTTATATTCCTTCTGTGTGTCTTTTATCTTACGTTTAACTGCTTTATTTAACTCCTTTACGTTCTGCTGATCATGCTGCATGAAAGCAATTTTCTTCATATTTAAATAATGTTTCAAATCTTTGTTAATCCATGGCTTGTTATTTGGGTAGATTCTGACATTCTTTGTTTGAACAACAGAATTTACACAGAAATTGATGTAGCAGGTTATTGTATCATTCAACAATTCATAGTTACTACAACAATCGTTATCATTAAAAAATAAGTCCCATTCAGTACACTCAAAACACCCTCTTAACTGTTCTATTATAAAATTTAATGAAGAAATATATTACTATTGCAAAAATATTATTGTAATATAGCAAAGGATTAATAATAATAATAATGCTAATAATATTGAATTGGCTCAGGCTACCTAATTCAGAGGGAGCTTTATGAGGCGGGTTTTGAGTCGGCTGTCTTGGACAGATGTAGATATCAAATTGTGTCAATCTGAGTGAAAAATGGATGCGTTTTAAAATAAATATTATTATTGTTATTGTTATTAATCCTTAGCTATATTACAATAATATTTTTGCAATAGTAATATATTTCTTTAATTAATTTTATAATTTAAATAAAAAAATATTTATATATACATTTTTTAATAAGTTTATTATTAATCTTTTTAATTTTACAGTATAATTGTATTATTGCAATATTTCTTTATTGATTTAAGTTTTAAGTTTAATTTTTAAAATGTTAAAAATAATAAACACTAAATAAGTTTATTGTTGTTTTTATTATTATTAAATATTATTTTTATTTTACAGTACAATAGTATTATTTCAATAGTAATATTTATTGATGTAGATTTTTACAATTTAAATACTTTTTCAGTAATAGTTATTAAATACTCAGCTTTTTATTTTACAGCACAATAATTATTTTGCAACAGTATATTTCTTTGATTAGTTTATACATTTAAAAAATATTTTAAATAATAATATAATAATAATTTATTATTATTGTTATTATTAAATGAGGAGAGGTGGATGTTTTTCTTCTTTCTTCTCCTTAGCTGATCACATGCCTGCATCATCCTCTAGGTACCTCTATCCTCGCCAGCTTCTGATCCGGCACTTCTGGACCCCACAGCAGCTAGTGGAGTTTCAGGGGGTGTATCATACCCAGAGAGCACAGCACCACTGGGCTATAGTCAAAGGGCTGGAGAGCACGTCAACATCTGTCCAAGACAGTCGCATCAAAATCCGCCTCTTGGAGCTCTGCAGTAAGGTAGCCTGAGCTAATTCATAATGTTACGTATGTGTAAAACCATAGCCTTTATTATTTTATTCAGATTTTGACTTTATAATAAATATAAATGTGTGTCTGCAGGTCCGAAGTGGAGTCCATCCTGTGGTGTCTGATGTCCATGCAGTGAGAACTTTGTTCTCTGGGCCTCCCTTGGGTGTCAAGAGAATGTATGCAGATCAGATGGTGAGCTTCAAATAATCGGCTAGTTGAACAATGAACTGCACTTTAAATGTTTGTTATTTAGTCTTTGTCTTGTTTAAAATTTTCAGAGGCACCTGTGTCCTTTGCTCTTCCTGACGCCCCGCCTCCCAGCCTTCTGGATTGGTCGACGCTTGAACAGCCACTCCTTAGAACTCATGCAGCTTGACCGCGCCATTGTTCGATTAGGCGTGCACCAATTAAACGATGCGGAGCTCAGAGAGGTCAGGGGTCACTCTTTATTGCCTATTACATTTAAGCAGACTTTATTTTGTGATTTTTGAAGACTATTTTTACATCACATCTCCTAGGCATGTTACATGAGAGGGCTGAATCCTGACCGTCTGAGTCCAGGGCAGTGCCGGGAATGGCTCACACAGTGGTTGCAGTTCTCAACACACCTCAAAGGTACACAAGCCATAAGATCAAGGCTGTGTTCAGCATAGCGTACTAGCATGCTACTTTTATGGTGCGTTCACGCCAGGTCATAATTACTAGATGACACTCTGGACGTTCTACTCTGAGCCATACATGTTAAAGGCTGTTTTCTTAAAATTATTTTTTTTTCCCCAGAAACCTCCACTTCAATAGAACTTACATACAGTTTTATTGCTATCTATATTCTTAGGGTTGTTGTTTTTACAGAGGGGTTTGAATATGTATTTGTCTGATGTTATACAACATTTTATTCCTAAAAACATGGTGAAATCATTTTCTGGCTGCTGAGTGTTTTCTGATTTATGGAGTGATAAAAACAGATGTCCAAAATCCCCTCTGTGAAAAGCATTTAAAGTTAATGTGAAATAAGAATTTTGAACCTGGCCTTATCCAGTGATCAGATTTCTGTTCTGGATATGTATGCAAATGAGTGCATATTTAATTAGATAATTTAAACATAACATTTCATTTGCAACATTTCTGTATGCAAATTCCCTGTAGACAATACGTCTAGTGTACAACTGACTGCATTGCCAATGATACTGTATCCCACAATGCAGTGCAGTGTTATGAATGAACCAAAAGTTTTTTTTCTTCATTTAACGAAGACTTTATCCCTTGATAACAAGGGATAACAGTATAGCATATTAATATTAATCATTACAGTTAAAAAAAATTTTTAAGTAGTGTGTACTGCACAGTATTCAGTATTTGAACATAGATGCACTCTAAAGTTAGCTTTTAATATACCCTGAATGTTTCTTAATTAGTCAGTTGGGGTTTGTGTTGAATGGCATGAACAAATACCAGAAGAAACCACTGTTTTGCTTTTGAAACTGAGATGACAGTTACGGTGTTGCACATTCATTGTTTATTCTGTTTCCTTCTTGTTTGACCAGAGTCAGAGACCTCCCTCTATCTGCACTGTATGGTGCTGCTCACTGTAAACTACCCTAAACACCCACGTCACTGACCTCAGAAGGAAGTAGATGACTTCTCTTCCTAATGCCCAGTGCTGAAAATCCACCACCACACCCAAAGGCAAAACACCACGGGAACAAACAGACTCATGTTTGCAAATTCAAGCAGCGCAACACTTTTTAAAAAAAAATTTTATACCATGAGTCCTTTGGCTCAGTCACACGTTACTTTCATTATGAAGGGATTTTTTTGAAGTTTCTGCAGGAATTATTCTTTAAAGGGCCTGCCATTCTTTAAAAGTGTTTCTAGGAGATCCAATTTAGTTTACTTCAGTAAGGAACAGATAGGACGGACATTATCATTGAAAGATGTCATCGGGATTCTGGAACTTGTGGAATAATTTCATTCATTTTTTTTCTTCTTTCAATATAGACAGGGTGTGTAATTAGTGACGTACATTTACACTATGAGAGGTTCGAACCACATCGGAGACAAAAAGCACACTGAACATATGCCAAATGCAGCCATTTGGAATTAAAGCTCATTGGTCTTATCTTGAAACATTTTCATTCTGAATATTTATTCTGCAAACAATAGTTGTTCATGCACAGTCATTTGTGAATTGCGTTTTGAGGCATTTCGTACCTTTGTTTAAAATCTGCACTGACAAGTATCACCGATCACATTCATTTTTCTAGTGTCTTGTCTCGGATTGTTTAAAATGTTTTACTATAGAAATCCATTTTTTGAGTTTGAAATCAGATGACAGGACTGGAAAGAGGTTTACAGTCTTTAAAAATACTGGCGATAAAGTCTTTCTTAATATATTATTAAGCTAAGTTCTATAATGCAGCATATACTCATTTTAATTAAATGTATTATTTATTTTGAGTTCTCAAAACAACACAAAGAATATTGCACCTTGTTCCTGACCTATCCAATAAGAAGCTGTTTTCTGTGAGCGATAAGCGGTTTGGTCAAAGCATTAATGTTATGCTAAATGAGTCTAGTCAGGTTCTGAAATAACTTGATCTTCTTCTTCAGCCTTTTAACAGGTGCCTTTTACTTAAAAACACAGGAATAAATGAGGTGCAATACCTGCCGTTATCTTTTTGTGTTGCCAAATGTGTTGCAATATTTTATTTTTATATAAAGAGACAATGCCGTTTGGTTCTGTGTTAAAGTACATAGTGAATGCAGTATGAGAAGACCTGAACTTCTATTAAAAGACTTCAAACTTTATGGTCTCTGTTTGCATCCTTCATCAAGGTAGCATTGATTCACCAACCAAAGTAGTAAGTTGAAATAACTCTAAATATTTAAGTTCATTACGTTCTATTTAACACAAGGACAAACTTGTTTAGAACATTTTATTTCTTTTATTTTGACAAGAATGTTCTATAAATGTATAAAATTTGGCATATCGGTAATTAATTGATTGTTGTCCTGTAACCCAAAGTAATGTCACTGCGGTAAAGATAAAGTTTAAACAATGTCTAAAGTATAAATCTGAGACTTAACAGGAGACTAATCTACTGGATTAGTCATAGAAGCATAGACGTCATAGATATTTCATTCTCAAAGAAAATGAGTACTCTCAACTTACACAGCAAGGGGGATAATAATTGCCATTTATATAATAGTTTAAAAAAAACACCTAAACAGTCTCTAAAAGCTTTAAGTGATGTGCTGATATGGGTGAGGTGCTGTAACTAGATGTGATCACATGACCTCATAGCCACTGCGGATGCCTCGCATCAGAATGCAGGACAACACAATGCCTGTGATCTACAAAAAAAAATTTTATTGGTTAGTGTACGAAAAAGAGAAGGTTGCAATGACGTTTTTATGTGCATATAATAGAAAAACTAATCTTGCAGGTCTTACCTGCACAAATGCAATGACCAGAGCTGCCACAGCGATCCACAGGATGTTTCGCTTTAGAAATTTGTCCAGAATGGGCAGACATCCCTGTGTTAAACGAACACATAAACAAAATCTAAGTACTTATAGCACATCCCACATATTCCGTCCAATAAACAAATTGAAGTAGTCTTATTTAAAAACTCTGAATTTTCTTTTTTAGCTATGAGGACACAGACGGTCTAATTTTTTGTAGAATTTCTTTGTAAAAATGCCACCGTACAGAAGAAAAAAAAAGGTTTCTTACATTCGTGTAGATTTTGCTGGTGTCTCGGATAGCTCCTTTACCACAATTCTCAGTGACGTTTTTACAGCAGGAGTCTGGGACTGAATTGGGAGCCAAGAATTTTGAGTTCAACCAATCAATAGAGGAGTTTCTTCCACAGCACTTGTACTAGAAGAAAGACATTACAAATTCAACTTATAATATATAATATTACTTACAAAAAGACCAGTTAATTTGTAAGATATATATAATGTGTGTGTGTGTGTGTAAAATTAAAATAAATCATTCAAATTTCAGAGAGCAAGTGCAGTACACAGTCTAAAGTGAATTTTAGGCACATAACAGCACAAGAGAAAGCAGGATGTCAGTTTAGCGTCAACAGATGGCACTAAGCAAACAAAATGGGAGAAACTCTTGAGACACGATCATGTGCATGTGAAAATGGAAATCGGAGCAGGATCACAAGTATTGTTTGGACGAGCAGCACATCCAAAATGTGAGAGGTTTGGGTTTACGTCTTGCTGTATAGTATCAAGGGTTTCACGGTTTTCTGTTTCATTGTATCCTGTGATCATGACGTCAAAGCCTTTATTCAGTAGATCAGTCAGCTGCAGAGAAAGAGAAATTATTATGAGCCAAATGGTACTAGGAAATAGATTAATAAAAATGAAGTGCCAATGAGAAGTGCGCTCACGTTCCCATGCAAGACATATCCAGCGATGGCGGCTCCGATTTCAATGATGATGATGAGGGAGAGAAGAACAGCAAACTAGGAAAGGATAAATAAAGTAGTGGTGACTGATAAAGGTGAAGAAAGTCAAGTAACAGCATTTCAAAGATTTTAATGATTTTATTGAGAGAGGGTAGGTGCTGTGCTACTGTATTTGTGTAGGCATACAGTGGCATATTCTGAGGCACCAGTTCATTTTAACTGTTTGTTATCCATTTTAGTCAAATATGCAGATACACATCTATTCTTCCAATTAAGTGTTATGTCAAAAGGAATCTGGTTTGACCTGTTGGCCATGTGACATGTTGTCAACACAGACATGCTGCAGCTTTACAGCAGTCAGTAAATAAACAAAAGCATCAGCAGCAAGTTAGTGGAAATATAGCCTAGATGTCGTGTAAATGGTGTAAATGTGTACCAAGTTACTTGGGCAATACTTCAAGTCTGCATGAAGTTAATCTACTAAAAACAATGTTTGTCTTGGTAGTTTAATGTTTGTCTTTAATCAAAATCTGAACGTTAGCTTCCGCACTGGAATGGCATTCCTTCTCTGATGACGTCAGATTCAGAGTTTGGGCAGAGTATGCTTAACCACATGTATAACCAAGTTGCTGCCGACTTTATTTAAATGAAATATTGAATAGAGGTTGGGGTTTTATTTGAGTGCACCTCCTCTCCATCTCTTGCTCGAGAGGAGGTGCACTCAAATAAAACCCCAACCTCTATTCAATATTTCATTTCAATAAAGTCAGCAGCAACTTCTGGTTCACGTGGACTTTAATATTAGCGTGCTGCACCACTAGACTTAATTAAAATATAAGTCCACATATAAACTTCATATTTCAGTCAGTCAACACAACAGTATATACTAACAAGTACACTTGTATACATTTACATGTTAACGATGTAACATTGTCCTCTACCCCAGTGCATGCTAGATTTGATCATTAATCTGTATTTTCTTTTTTTTCCCAGTTTGTGAATTAATCCTATTTATTGCTTCAATACTGTTTATTATTTTTTTATTATTATTAGCAGTATTATTTCTTGTTCCAGATTATTTTTTACACACATTTCCCAAATCTGTCATGTTAATCTATTGACATATTTAAATATATAACATGTAATGAAATATTTCTATAATTAAATTAGAAAATAAACAATAAATAAAACTAATGTACAACTTGGACAAATCTACATTTATTTAATTTATCTTATATATGCAATATAGCATTTTTCTCCCTTTTCAACTAAAATTTATGACAGCTGACTGCTGCATGAGGTAAAATAAGTTGAAAACAAACCTAACAAATTAAAACCAAAATGCATGGATTTCAGCACTACTTCCTAATTACAAATTTGAAAGCAATAAAGGTAAATGTAATGTAATACTTGGTGACTAAGCCTTTGTTTACAAAGAGCTTGTGAATTAATAGGTAAGTGTTAAGAATAAATGGTGCAAACAAAATTTATCTCCTAGTGCAAGCAGCTGAAGCAACCCTAAACAATTAAACCATTTCCTTTATCTTAGCGAAATTGTCTGAACAGCAATTAGTTTACATTTACTGGAAAACCTGAATCTCATTATATGCACTGCAGCACTAGAACACAAATATTTTCCTCACACATCCCTACCGTGGTGATCATGCACTGATTCTCCTTCCAGGCGCCACAGCAGCCAAAGAATGCGATGAAGAAGATGACGACTCCCACCACTATCAGCACTAGAGGAGACCCGGAGTATCCTTTGAGGAAGGCCGTGGTGTTGATAGAAACTTTAGCCAATACCCCCAGAACTATTAAGGCCAGGCCACACAGCTAGGGATACGAGACAGAGAGAACAAATGTGAAAAACATTGACTTTAACAGACTCTTCAATAGTAATTTAGTTATTATTCATTCTGTAGTTAAACTGGCATTAACCTGCAATCAACCCACATTTTTAAGCTTACAACAGTCACTTATTTGGAATCATAAAAATTGAAACAGAAGAACGATGATGAAAAAGAGAGACAAAAAGAGGAACTGGAGCCTCAAGACAGAAGCAGTATGTCATGTCATGCGTTTGCATTCTCAAATTATCTCAAAGAGTCAAATGAAATAAAAGGACCAATTCTGATCAGAGTCTATTTTATTATTTAACTATATTTTAATTTAGAATGAATAATTCATATTAACTAGGTTCTATTTGAGTGTTGTCTGACAAGATGCGCGTTAAATATCGCATGCGATTTATCGTGCAGCCCTATTTTCCACTAAAGATGTAAAGAAAAAAAATGGTACCGTAACTTATTGC